CAAAGAAGTTAGGTTGCTCTCATGAAGAAGAGGCATTACCCTGCTTAGCCCAGGAAAGAGCAATAATGATGCAAGCACTGACAGCAGTCAGCCCTGAAGGACCGTTTGAGATCACCGGAGTTGGAAGGAAGAAGTACTGCCCCAAATTCAGGTTCATATATAACATTACTAAGAAAAACAAGGGCCTCATGTGCCATGAAGCTGCACTCTGTTAAAAAGAAAACTCTTCATATATCCTAATGCAAGTAGGCAGAGAATCTGTCTTCTTGCTTACATTAAGATGGCATGCCTTTAACTGCATGGTATAAGGAACAGATGTCCCAAGCACTGTTTTGCAGGAAGCTGGCTGGATGCCCATTCAAATGCCATTAGAACTTGGCTTCTGGGGGTTGTTTTTTTTTTCTTTAAGTGAGAGGAGGTGGAAAAAAAATGCCATCAGCCTCTCAAGAACACACACAAAATGGGCACCAGATAATTCATTTAAAAATTGCTTAAATATTAGCAGTTCCTCTTATATAAATAACTGGATTTTTATTAGAACTTTTAATTGCATCAGACATATCTGAGGGACATGTCGTGTCTCATTTTAAATGTTTATTTTGCCAGAGTAAACCAACCTAATGCATTCCATGAAAATTAAGCTTCCTTTCATAATGCTAATTTGAATAATCAGTGTGTGGCTACAGAATAGAGCGATGTATGGAACATGGTGTTCACTGAGTATTTAACTCTGCTAAGATGGCTTATGCATGGAGAATAGATGGTCATCCAGGGTGGGAAGGATCCTGCTGTGGCCATCAAGATTGCCCTTCTCTGCTAGTGGATGCGAGTTAACCAACCCTTCTCCAGGGACAGGGAAATACTATTTATCTAGTCTTTGATGAGTTTTGCCCTTACACAGAAATACTGCACATACTGCTGAGTGGCTGGTGAGGAATCTTCTGGAGAAGTATTTTAAAAAAGAACATATCAGAGAAGTAAATCTGTAAGCTGTTCACTTAGTCAAGTGAGTTTTGACTTTTCTGGTCAAAAATTGAGATGTTTGGAGGAATAGAAAAGGAAAAAATAGTCACTGTGCTTTATTTTGGCATTTCCAAAGTGAAAAATGTGATTTTGTTTTGAAGCTGTAAGTGGAAGTTTCACAGGTTATAAAATGTTGACTCAATATAAAGAAGAGTCTGTAGTAAAAAGCTAAGCAAAACTGAATAATGCACATTCTTAATGTCATTTTCAGGAGCCAAATATTATCAGGTTGGATTTTTTCCTCTTTTGATATCCCCTGAGATCAAGGGATAGGGAATTCTTCAGCCTCAATCTTCTCTCAAAAACTTCACTAAACTTTCCAACATAGCCCATGACTCTGAGCAAGTGGCTTGGCACAACTTCAGCTAGATGCCTCCTGTCCATCAAGCTGCCAAGGCAGGGCTGCCATCTCACCAAATAAATTTACATTCTAGAAGGGCTCTTCAGACCATCTATTTCCAATTAAGAAGACTGGGTGGAAGTGGCTCATGAGTACTCAGCACCCTGCCAAACTGATCTCTAACATTTCTAATGGGATACGTAAATAAGAGCCGTTTGGGAGATTGGGGCCCAACCTCAGCCATGGGGATTCAGGAGGTTTCCCAGCACCCACTGAGGGGCAGCCAGAGGCAGGTTCCCTCATCTCCCCTGCCAGCCTGAAATATTGCAGAACTGCTCTTACATTTTATTCTCCTCTGCTGTTTACCTGAATACATCTCTGCTTCCATTGAAGCCCATTACTTTGTTGTTCAGTCCTCACTGACAGATGAGGGTAATGACTCCCTGTCATCTCTTGCAGCTCATCCCATGTCATTGACAAATAGGCCTCCAATGGGATTTCCTGCAGACTGAGAACACCCTAGGTCTTCTTCCTTTATGAAAACACAGCTAATACAACCCCACACTGGGTCACTACTCACCCACTAAAGCCCACTGAACTCATCACATGTGTGGGTGTCTGCCTGAGAAAATCACAAGGCCAGATTCTTGTAGGAAGAGACCTGCTCAGTCTCTTGTGGAATAAAAATGTGCATAGAGGGAGGGCCACAGGTTCTCCTGCTCCAAGGTAAATTAGAAGGTGTCATTGCAATTTGTGGCATTTCATTTGTTCAACACCACCATATGAAAAAGGGGACTAAAACCTGACACTTGCATCTGCTACAGGCCAAGTTTCTGATGAATGCAGCCTTTTGGGTCATTTCACAAGGGCTCTGCCAGACTCACACAATTTCAGTTGCCAACTTCTCAAAGCTCCTGTCTTGTGCCCTGCTCCACACACAAGACCCCAGCCCTGAGCTGGCTGCAGCTGAACAACCCCACCACACACAACACTCCCACCACAGCACCCTGCCAGCTTCTTGGGATGGGGCAAGCACGATGGATGTGGGGCTGCAGCCACCTTGCACCCTCATCCAAGCGCATCTTCACAGGACAACATCCATGACCTGTTACACGTGCTGCACCAGGGCAGACACGTCTCACCTGCAGCCCAGGCCCTGCCTTCCTGAAGGAACAGTGCCTTCGATCCAGCTAGGACCTTCTTTGAGTTAGAACAAAATCTGTCCCTAAATTAAGTAGGTTCCACCTTTCACAAAGTACACGAAGTTCGCTTCCATCAGTTCCACCACACAGATCAACTTCTGTTCATCTCTAGTAATGACTGGGAAGACACCTTGCATGCTGAACAGGCCAGACAGACTGTCCCTTCAGCAGAAGCACAGGGAGCTTCAAGCCAACACAGGATGGCCCAAATCAAGACTCTGTTCTTGCAGTTCATGGCATTAAGGATCTGAGCTTATGACAGCCCTCTCAGAAGCATCAATCTGAGGCCTACAAAATGAAGAGACGTTGTAGAAAATATCTTGCACCTTTTTTAACCTTTTGAGGAGCTTTAGTATTGACAAAACTACTTCTTTTGCAAAAGAAATATTGGCTACTGTTTTGCAGTTTTTTTAAACCAATATGGCTCTTGCACATGAACTTAATTTTTAAACCTACATAGCTCTGCTGTCCTTTGTTGCACAGCATGAACTCAGCCTCTCTGAACAGGGTTTTGGAAGATGACCTCACCTTGGAAAGGTGATTTGATACACTCAGCCTTGACACTAGCCTCAAAGCACTAGACTTTAGTGAAGAGCTGGTTTTCTCCAGCCTAGAAATTCCTGATGCTCGGTGAATTTTTCAGGATAAAATAGGGAAAATTATTTTCTCTTCTCCTTGTGGAGAGAATTCCCCGTATCCTTTACCCACGTGGCATGTGTATAAATATAATCTCCTTTCTCTTCTGGCAGCAATTCAAATCATGGGTTTTATTCTCCACCCCACCCAGATGGCAGTTACAGAATCAGGGTGGGAGGGAAGAAGATCAGAGAGGAAACATATGAAATTATACAGGCAAGATTTAAAGGGGAAGGATAGATAGAAAAAATGTGCAGAAAACAGCTGGCTTCTTCCTGATTTGATCTTTTCAAAAATAAAGCTGCACAAGTGGGACCCACTAGGTGATGTATTTGATTGTAATTGGGTTGCAAAACAGGCTAATTTTTCTTACTGTAGTCACTGTTTTCGTCCTTGGTCCCATCAATTGTACCATCTGGGTGCATCTGCAGGAAGTATTCCTG